GTACAGATACGCTTTAATAAAGGCCACAGCAAATTCTAGAGCCAGTAAGGTGAATAAGACCTTAAAAATGCAATGTGGGCCTCCCCTCATCCAATGCAATGTGGGCCTCCCCTCATCCAACTTAAGACATGCATACGAGAAAAAACTATTCCACTCTAAGGTGTGCAACTACCTAGAGGGAAAGGGGCTTTTAAAAAAAAACATTCCAAACCTCACAGTATAAAAGTAGAAAAGCCTTTATTTAGTACATAATCATTAACATGATTCAAAAATAGAATAAAACATATAATAGTACATTCACCACATGATAGCAATGCCACACAGATTGGGTCAAACGATTCGTTTCCAAAGCTAGACATACAATGTTTCATGTAAAGGTCCCTTTCCAAAGCTAGACATACAATGTTTCATATAAAGGTCCCTTTCCAAAGCTAGACATACGTTTCATATAAAGGGACCTTTGAGCTCTGGAATGTTTTTTTAAAGCCCATTACCCTCAAGGTAGTTGCACACCTTAGAGTGGAATAGTTTTTTTTCCTATGCAATATATACTGGGGTGTAAACCTTCTATTCTCTCTATATCTCCATTTGCAATGCACGCCTACTAATGTTGACCTTGAGACATGCATGCATCCACCATGTTGGATTGCCAGGCCTGCTCAACACTGTGCACTGTCATTATCAGAAATGTGCCTCTGCTCTAGTACGTGCAGCACCTAGCCAGCAGAAATAAAATAGGATTTTTGTCTTACTTTCATGGGGTACATCACAGGACACTTCGGTTGATTGGACAACGGCAAAGCAAAGCTGTAAGGACAGCCCTGTATAACCCCTTTCACTCTAAGCTTGCCTTCAGTTTTGTATCAAGCAGTAACTAAAATGAATAATGTGGGACCCGTGTCCAGTGATGTACTCCAAGAATTTTTTTTTACAGGTAAGACAAAAATCCTAAATTTTTGTACCTTGCAAGACACAGGATGGTAATTATGTAACCAATGGGACGTCCAAAAGCAGTTCACCTCAGGGGTTGGAAACACAGCAAACAGGGCCAATAAAAAACAAATAAGGCCCAACAGTTCACACAGCCGCCTGAAGAACCTTACAACTGACGCTAGCATCTGCTGAGGGCATGATGTCCACCTATTAAAACCTAACAAATGTGTGAATTGAGGACGAGGTGGAAGTCTTGCAGATCTGAGAAACCAAAGCCTAGTGCTGAGAAGCCCAAGAAGCACTGAAACTTCTAGGAGAGTGTGCCTTGACCAGAAAAGGGGGGAGTGTGTCCTTAAAGGAGATCTATGGGGTCAGTGTTTTTCCCCATAGTTCTCCTTAGGGTAACGGGAGGACACAAACTAGCGTGCCCCCGTCACCCTAAGCTCAGTATCCAGCGAGCTACGGCTCGCGGTATACGGAGACGCCGTAGCGGATCCCGACGTAGATGACGGGATCCGCCCAGCTGCGTGAGTGACAGCTGGCTCTGCCTATCTAGAGGCAGAGCCAGCTGTACCCGCCCCCTCCACGTCTGTTCCGCCAGTCAGTGCTGGCAGATCGGAGCGGGGAGAGGGGAATCCCGCCCTCCCCCTGTCACGGCAGAGAGCAGTGACAGGATCGAGAGGTGAGCGTACCTGGTATGTGTTCGCTCACCTCCCGATCTACTGAGCCGACCTGTGACAGTCTCATTGTCACAGGTCGGCTAGAACTATGAGGTGAGTGGAAATCACTCATCTCATAGTTCTCCTTTAAGGTTATAGGTCTAAATGATTGGTTGCTGAATCTACCTAGCAACAGTGGAAATAGAAGCTGGCTGACCCTAACAGGAGAGTTCAGGAATGACAAACGGAGTCAGACTAATAAAAAGAGGCCTTAGCTGAGAGGTAAACAGAGCAAACTGCATCCAGGCAATAGAGAGAAATCTCCTTAAAGGAAATGGAAGGGGGAATCCAGCCCCTCCCCTGTCATGGCTCTCTGCCGTGACAAGATCGAGAAGTGAGCGAACGCGGGTATGTGTTCACTCACTTCCCGATCTACTGAGCCGACCTGTGACAGTTTAATTGTCACAGGTCGGCTAGAACTATGAGGTGATTGAAAAGCACTCACCTCATAGTTCTCCTTTAAAGATGCTTAGACGAAGGACATAACGGTGGTAAAACAATGTCCTGGTTAGGATGGAAGGCAAAAAACACCTTGGGGGAAAGAGGCCTTTGCCTTAAGACAACCTTGTCTTTGTGTAGAACAAGAAACAATTAGTTACAGGTCAAGGCTGCCAACTCAAAAATCATGCCAATGGCAAATGGCCTCTGAAAAAGAACTGCAAAGGTTAAGATTTGAGGCTGCTCCAGACCAGACTGGAAAAAGGATTTATCCCATGGAGTACTTCCTTGGATGGAATGTCCTAGCCTTGCAGAAGGTTCACGCTATGCAGGGCCCATGGAAAATGTGTCAGGAACTTGACAATGTCCAATACCACAGCCCCCTGAGCCAATTTGGTACAATGAGGATTACAAGAACTCCCTCTATCTTGAACTTGCGGAAGAGGCGAAGGAACTTTAGAGGTATAGATCAGATTTAAATGAACCCAAGTAGCATCCACTGTGAAAGAATGAGGATCCCAGGTCCTGGCAATAAATCTGTCCAGTTTGTTGTTGAACCTAGAAGCCAAGAAGTCCATATCCGGCATCCCCAACTGTGACAGAGTACTAGAAAAACTTTTTTGAGAAAAGGACATTCTACGGGTCCACGCGGTAACCACTGAAGAAGTCCACCTGTCAATTTTTCACACCTGGGAGGTGCATGGCCGACAGGGCTAAAACGTGAAGTTCTGCCCAAGCCAGAATCAAGTCCACTTCCCTTTGGACTGTGTAACTTCTGGTACCCTACTGATGGTTGAAGTAAGCCATGGCCATGGTATTGTCCTATTCAATCCCTGTTGGGTGACCTCGCAACTCAGGGGTCCAGCATTGAAAGGACAACCAAATTGCCCTGGGCTCCAGAATATTGATTGGGAAGCGAGCCTGCTCCAACGACCAAATCCTCTGTACAGAGAGGGTATCCAGAACACCATTTCAACATAACAGGCTAGTATCCATTGTAAACACCTTCCAGACTATCAGGAGAAAGAATTTCCAGCGTCAGACTGGAGTTCCAAAATGCCAGGGCAAGCCAGGTCTTTCTAGAAAGGCATATGGGGGCAATCCAGAGAAAGTCTGTCCCATGCTGCCAGAATGTTGAGCTGCAATGGTCTAGAATTAAACTTACCATATTGGAGTGCCTTCGAAGAAGGTAATTATAAGGGCCCAGAACTCTCATGCAAAAACAAATGGATGGGTTGCTCCTGGACAGCTGGGTCCGAACATGGGAACGGAGCGACTGGGTAGACCATGGCTAGAGCTGCATCCATGGTTAGACCCACATACTCCAATCGATTAGTGAGAACCAACACTGACTTTGGGAGATTTAGGATCAACCCAAAGTCTTGCAGAGCCTGCACTATCAAGTGGACATTTACCGAGAGTCTGTGCTGACTGTTTAATCAATAGGAGGTCATCCAGATATTCCACCATGCAGGTAAGCACACTTGATGTCGATGTAGGCCAGAAAATCTTCAAGGTAAAGGGAAGCAATCACTGACTGGGCAGAATAGGGACTGTAAACAGGTTGGGATAGAATCCTTGAAAGCTTTCCATTTCGGGACTGACTGCTTGAGAGAGGAGTTGCAATAGAGCAGTGAGAAAGTCAGACCGTCTTTTGAGGAGACGTTATCCAATTTGACAACATGAAGCAAGGAGGGGGAACGGAAGGAAACTCTAGTTTGTAACCCCCCAGGAAATGAACCCAAGCATCCAAAATGGCCAGGGATCAGATGGTTTCAAAAGGGCGACAGACATCCCCGCACATTGACAAGTAGGGACACCCCTTCATTGGAAGGTCGACACATGTTGCGTTAATTTCAAACACTGCCTCAGGATATAAATATGTTCCTAGTTTGGGAGAAATGTCAAAGCATAGGTCCTCCTCCTGCACCTTACAACTGAATGTGGCACCAGCCTCCTTTTCCTTATCAGTAAGTGCAAAGGCCAATAGCTCAGAGGACAATAAATGCTCATTAACTTATGCTGTGAGCAAATAAGTAATTGGTATTCTACACAGCAGAGCAAGGACTGGGCAGAGGCAGATTTATTTTGATGCAGGTGGCCAGCCATCTATTGCAGTATATGCAAACCAAGTAGGATGCAGCATGTTTGGATTGGATGTTTGGACTTATCTCCATTTTTTTGCAGCAGTTACACCATGAAATCTCAGTTGGTCAGGCATTATTTTACATGCATTCCTAAAGCAACCCTGTCCCTGAAATAAAAAGGAAAACTAAATAGCACCTGTAAAAGAAGAAGAGACATTAGACTTACATGTTCAGAAACATTTTTCTTGGAATCTGCACTCTGCTGCATAGCAAAGTTGTCAGAAAAATCTCATATTTGACATACTCACAGCTACACATTCCCTGCCAAGATCTGTGGTTCCGCCCGCCACCCCCTGCTCCACTACTGTGTCCTGCAGTGATTGATGTAGGGGCCGATGGGAGAAACCAGAACATGCATTTCAGAGTAAATTTCTCGATCTCTATGTTTTTGGTATGTTCATAAACAGTGGCTGTTGTATGAACACAAGAGAGTTAAACAGGTACAGTTAATTTCTTTCCCAGAAAGGATAAAGAAGCTGAAGTGCACAATTCATAAAATGCAGACCACAGTGTGTAGCCTCCATTGCCTTGCAAAGTCCTCTCTTCTCTGTAGGGTTCCTTCTTCATAAGAACATCAGAGAAAACTCATTGACTGAAAGAATGTCAGTCATGTGACTTTGACACGCTACCTTCGGACTAAGAAAGCCAGCGGAGTACATTGATGTGCTATAAAGGTTAGGACCTGTTATTGGCCATACTGCTGCTTTTTAAATCCCAAAGCCTATTTTATAAAAGTAATAATGCATACAATTCAAAACAAATACAAAAAAACTCTTTATCATAAATATATTTATATAAATATACATGTTATGTACAGACGTAGGAAGGCATCACAGTTACAAAAGTTGACAATTTAGAAATCGTTTACCATTCATTCACAGATGCTTTAAAATGGCCGTAGCATTCAGAACTTTCATGTAGAAAATAAATCAAAGGAAAAATTCCATTCAAAAAACGGAATTGTGAGTTGGGTAAACCTACAGAAGGTAAAGCCCGTAGTGTGCCAGATATTCTAAAAATCTTACATGTAAAAATGAACTAAGAAATCATGTAGGAACCACATAGGGGAAATGTATGTCCAACAGTGTAGAAGTCCAACTACTAAATTGTCTAATAATAAAAAAAAATCCAGTCAGTGAAGTATAACTTTTTCCAAGTCTTCATAATTCTCCTTCCAGTATTTGGCCAATTCCCAGTAAAAGGTCATAAAACTTGGGCCGTCCTTCTGGCTTCTAGAAACAGAAAACAAATAAATAATTTTGGATTGGTGAAGTATATGCATTTATGGCCCTAAGACCAACTTATCTTACAGTATTAGTACTGGCCTGGGGAGTAAATGTCATCTCGTCCCACTCATGATGTATTGATAATCAAACTAAAACAGTGCTGGCAATTGATAAAATTATTACTTTTGGTGGATTCATTCTTCATCTTGTTAATGGTAGGCAGTTGGTTCCAAGCCTGAGCTGTGGCAAGGGTGGGATCTGAGTGCAGGATAGACAGAAACTGATTGCGTCTGCTTAAGCAGCCTATCAGGGTTTGGGCCTCACCTAGTTTCAGTCCCCGCTGTAGCTCAGTCCAGGAAGCAGTAACAAGGGGAAGACTGAAGATTCTAATAGTTAAAGCTGAAGTATAGTAAGAAGTTATTTGGGCATACAGCACCATTGTAATAATGTATAGTGAGGTGCAGACCACGTTCTGATGGCTTTTGGCTAGTGTAATAATACTCCCCTCAGTGATGCTGGATACTCCCCACACCGCTGATCTTCTGCCACTGCAAGCAAGAGAGCCTATGGCTGCTACTGTGAAGGATCGTGCCATTCATCCTACCCTTCTTGTCTCCTCGCCCATTCACAAAACTCCTTATATTATTTTCACAGAATGCAACACTTTCTTGGAAAATGCATTCTGTAAAAAATAATACAGGAAGTTTTGTGAATGGGTGAGGAGACAGGAAGGGGAGCGCGAATGGCACGATCCTTCACAGAGACAGTGGCAGCTTTGGCTGCATCATCCAAAGATCAGCACCGTGGCGAGTGTCTGGCATGACTGAGTGGAGGATTATTATACTTACCAGAAGCTAGTAGAATGTGGGACAGACATCATTTGAGGTACATTATTACATGGATGCAGAATGCCCCAAAAACATTTTACTAAACTTTAGCTTAAGTATTTCAGCAGTTACAGCTTCATTTTTTTTACAGTTCAGCTAACAGTATTCTTAGACCAGTGAGATCACATCCCTGACCATTAACATACGGAAATGTGTCCCATTTGCACTCTATATACCCAATAATGTGAATGAAGCACAACTGCTGGATTCACTGATGCCTCTGGCTAATACATCACTTCCATGGTCAAACGGAGGTAACTCCTTTCTTTCCATATTGGTTTGGGATTTCCTAAAGCAGCTGACAGGTAAATAAACAGGCAACACAAACAATTCAGGTTACGGCTTTCTTTCTCTGATTTTATGGGTAACAAACTCCATTTTGCACCACTTTCCCTTGCTGTACATCCACTGATGAGCAGGACTGTAACTAGCCAAAGATTAGATGTCAGGTTGGGTCATGTGAGATTGTAATAGGTTATAACAGTTGTACACTTTTTAAAATGTACTTATTTTTTGTGGTCTTACCTCATGCCAACAGGCCATCATTATTGTGTAAATCCTGTTTGTAGCCAGTCTAGGTCTGTAGAGTCTTTCCCCCCTTGTCACCATCTCTACCACTTCCACGTTGGAGTAGGTCTCAAATGGCATCTTACCCTCAGTGAACACTTCCCATATTAACACACCTGAGAAGAAAGAAAGTGACACCCTTTGCTTATTAGGGCTTGCAGAGTCTGATCCATAGTTTAAGCTCTTACAAAACTAGTTTAAGAAACAATAAACTGAGCCATACTGAAAATCGAAATTTGGGCAAAGAGCATAGGTCAACACTTGTGTCCAACATTGTTAACCCTGCAGGTAGGATTGTAAAGGTCCAGTTTTACTGGCTTTAATCTACCGACTAACACTTTTTTTTGTTCACCCAAAAGAACAAGGATCACGTATTTTAATTGCAGAAAGCTTAAAACCTTATATATAGAAAAAAAAGTTTATTGAAAGTTTGTGTCCTCCATGCCTCTGTCCACACATACAGTGATTTAACATGCAATACCACCTAATACTTTTTCAGTTCTAGTTTTGGATAGAGTGTGGTCCCAGAATGGAAGTGGTCTGGGGCCAGGTGAGGCGGTCAGGGGCTCGGTGCCTCTGATCTCCATCTGTAACACACATGGACATCAGGGGTCTGTTTAGAGCATTAGGACACACAGATGTATTGTATATAAGAGGTTTAGGAATAGTTTTAGGCTCATTATTTTGGTATATACATTTACACGTATTTGTTATTTATTAATTCTATACTGTTTTATCTTATATGTTAAATACTAGTTTTGGAGAGAATAATGTGTTTGTGTCTAATAGTTGTAAACCTCAGTTCATAAATATTTGCAGAACCAATGAGAGACATGAAAAAATGAGCGGGGTCATCCTTTAGTTCTATAGTCTCGACAAAATGGAAGGCTTTGGGGGTGGGGGTACATATTTCACAAACATGTAAGAGCTTTAGCATGCACGTGAAAATCTGAAAAACTTATTTGGCCTTCTGAGGTGGAAACCATTGGGCCGGCCACAGCAACAAAAGGGTTAAAAGTAAAACTAACTTAAAGTGACACTAAACTCAGACGTTAAATCTCAAAAATGCATTCAAGTACCTTAACTATTAACAAAAATGTATCTTATTTGTGTATCACTCGGCTATAAGACCCCATTCACACTGAGCGACATGCAAATCGCGCGACTTTGAGCGACATTGAGCGACGAGCGACGTTGAGCGACGTGTCGCGCGACATCGCGCGACATCTTCCTATTGGGCTGTATGCAATCAGGAGCAATATCGCTCAAAATCGCTCTAAAAAAGGGTCATGTAGAAGCGACAAGCTACCAGCGACGAGCTACAAGCGATATTGAGCGATATTGAGCGACATTGAGCGACGAGATGTGAACAGCTACATTGAAATGTATTGGTGAAGCTACATAGAGCGATATAGTGCGGAAATATGAGCGATATCGCTGCAAAAATCGCGCGATAAATCGCTCAATGTGAACGGGGCCTAAATCTTCAAATCATCTCTGAATTGGTGCCGACACTGTCCTTCCTTCTGGAGGGTGGCTACTTCTGTTTCCCATGGTCCCTGTGTGTGTTGTAAAGTAGCCACCACTCCAAGCTCACTCCCATTATGGACTACAACCTCAATACAAATTAGTAAACTTAATGTGAGATTGTAATCCAACACACGAGCGAGTTTGCAGTGGTGACTACTTTACAACACACACAGGGACCATGGAGAACAAAAGTAGTCACCCTTAGGATTGAAGGACAGTGTCAGCAACAATTCAGAGATCATTTGAGGATCTACAGCCGTGTAATACACAAAGAAAGTTCAGTTTTGTTAATAGTTGAATGCATTTTTTTAACCAATGAGTTTAGTGTCACTTTAATTGAAGGAGCCATTATAATGCTGTAATGTAAAGACTCTACCTTCAAATATGAAATCCAACAAAACCTGTTCCTCTAAATTAGAGGCAATGTGAAAAGTTACTGTTTTCTCTCTGTCAGTGTCCTTTTCTGAAGCTTCCGGCTTTAGATATCCTGGTTTTCTCTTCTCACTCTTTCAATATAAGGCAGCTAGGAGATTCCACCACACAAATATATATGGAATCTTCATATGCAGGCCAGAGCCTCCACAGAGAATAACAAGGGATCAAATGTCTGGATCTGGAAGGGGTCATGATTATGCAGGACAAGGCACCCCAAAGTAGGAACCGCACCCCTGCCTTGCCTTTTTACCCCCCTTTCTCTGTGTATTTTCTTCATTATATTTCTACAGTTATCTTACCAAAGGACCAGACATCAGATTTACTGCTAAACTTGCTGTAGTTGAAGACCTCAGGTGGTGACCACTTCACAGGGAACTTGGCTCCACAAGAACTTGTGTACTGGTTATCAAGAACATACCTGAATATATCAAGAAAAAACATGTTATTCCAGCAAAGCCAGAAAATTCTGTATAGTCAATACATTTTATACACTGAGCTTTGCGTCACGGGAGGAGGTTACTATATGTCCTCTTGTGACCCTAAAGAGAACTATGGGATAAAAAGGTTACCCCATAGTTCTCTTTTAAAGACGTGACAGCTTGGATTCAGGTTCCCACAGTCATGACCCTTTTTCCTTATTTGCTTTTCTACCTTCATCAGATTAACCACCACACTTCATTCGTTGGTTGATGCCAAGACACAGCCACTTACTATTCTTCTTCCATAGCCTTTCAGTAAATAATTCAGGATCAGTATTTAATACACAGAGAGGGGAATTTATCAAAACTGGAGCAGACAAAATCTGGAGCAGCTGTATATACCAACCAATCAGCTTATCTCTTCATTTTCAAATCTTACCAGAACAAACTGAAGAGAGAAGCTGATTGATTGCCATGCACAGCTGCTCCAGATTTTGTCTACTCCAGTGTTGATAAATTCCCTTCACAATGTTTTATTTAATTTATTGTGCTATTATTGTTTTATTATATAACTTAATATATATCACCCTCCATTTCCAAAGATAGAAATTTAGAAAATTGAGCAATCAGGTTGAGTTCTGCCTTGGCTTTCTGCCACAGCCACAACAAGGTCTTCTTCCCTTCCTTTTACCCCTGTTGTTCTTCCTGGCATCAATCAGAGAACACTGCAGTGAGAATGGGGCTTTCTTGAAACTGATACAGGCGGGCAGATTTAGGAACAGATCTTGTTGCCACAGTCCCCCATATACAGAACAAGAGAAAGAGAAATAACAGGACTGACTCTTTAATACAACCGCACAAAAATAAAGTATTAGGCCCAATTCATTACTCTATATTAAAGTTACAGCACGGTGAATAGAGCCAGCCCTGTACAGTTTCCCTTTCCAGCCAAGACACTACGTTCATAAAGTTTTTTATTCCTTTTTTTAAAACTCTATACAGTCAAATGATCGCCAAACACTTGTGTAGCTTACCCCATAGAAAGCCATGTGTTCTCTTGTTTAGGCATGCATTCTTTACTCTCAGTGGTTAATGCTTGAAATTTCGAGAGCATGAGTGAGCTATAAATAGTTGCAATGTAACTCTAGCCTAAATCTCCATTTCTCCTAATCAAAATAATCTAAAAAGGAAACAGCCCTAAATATTTTTCTTAACCTTAGGTTTAGCAAATTAGAAATTGCTATGTAATAGGGAACAAATGTTAATTGTGCCTGAGTACCTTGAAAATGTGTCCACTATGTTTGTTGCTCACTGTTCTCCTTCCTGGAGGCTCTGACATGAGCAAGCAAAGCCTTGCCTCTACCAAGATGGCCTCCTCTGCACAGAGCTCTCTGCCTGTGTTTTTGGCACAGCTCCCAGAGTTCATTTTTAAAAAAATTTCATCCAACATCCAAACAATCTCCCCACTGACACCTGACCCAGTGCTGTGATCAGCTGGAGTCCATGTCCATGTGGCATCAAGCCAAAACAACTATCCCACTTGTGACCTCTCTAAACGTTCCTAATAGCAAATTTGCTTTGCCTTTACATTTGTGTCCACAGCCCCTATGTAGAAGGGTTGAGGATTCACAATCAGGCACCTGTGTCAGTGCTGATACGTATATTTGTGTTTCTGCTGAGAATAGCACACTAGTACAGAATTCTTGGAACCCTATCTAGTGGAAAATCAGAATAATGAACATGTTGCAAGAATCTAGTAGTTCTGTTGCTTCCTGCTCTAACATATTGTACGTTAATGCTGTATGTTCCAAAACACAAGTTAAAATGTATTCGGTGTAACTAAGACTGGGATCTAATGGAAAGTGATTGTAGGTGATGAGCATGTGGCTTAACATCCTGCTAACCATTCAATGTACAAATTTAAAGACACCCTTTCGTCAGACCATTGTTTTCAACAACATTCTTCCCATAATATTACATGTGCACTTAACATATTTCAGGCATGTCATTTACCTGTAAATATTTCCTTCTGTAGCCATCCAAAAGCTCTAAGACTGCTGCTGGGCACCATCATCTTGGATAAGATGTCAGCAGCCCCAAGAGGCTCACAGCTGTCAGTCAATTGTCACTCTATAGTATTTTCCTTTATTCTTCCCCTGGCAGCTACATAACAACAATTTATGTTAGGAAGTGAGGGGAGGGGCTGAGGAGCTGGTCAGCACTGCCTCTGCTTCTCTATCTCCTCAGTGTGATCTGAGGCGAGATCAGTGCTACTAAGTGTCCCAGAAGTAATACTAATAAAAATAAACCTTGATTTAATTTTTTTTTTATTAACCCCTTCATTGCTGCTCACATTTTTATAACGGTGATTACTCTGATCAGTACAATAGTACTGTTCAGGATTGTTGGGGTGTATTTTTTTGTTAATTCTACCCTTTTTTAATTATTTTATGCTGCAAGCACTATTTTTTCTGGCCGGATCGGACTGGAATGCAGGCATTGAGGTGCCACGCATTCCCATGCGGCCGATCGCGTTGTGCCAGGGGGCATGGCTGCAGTGCCGGCCGGCTCACTTTGTTGTGGGGCGGGAGGGGGCATTGAAGTGAAATGGCATTTTTTCTGACCAGACCGGACTACAGGCATTGATGTACCTTGCCTTCCCGTGCGGCCAATCGCATTGTGGCCCAGATGGCGTGGGTACAGTGCCATTGAGGGGAATGCACCGCCACGCCCCCTCCCGCCCCACAACAAAGTGAGCCGGCCAAAATGCGATCCAGTGCGTTCCGGCCAAAATCGGTCCGGAACGCACTGTGGCTGGTGTGACCTAGCCCTCAGGGCTGATGATCACAGTTTTAGAACTGTGATCACTACACTAGTACTGTTCAGCATTTTTGGGGTGTGATTTTTACCTGTGTTTAAAATTTTACCCTTTTTAATTTTTTTACCCTTCCACCTACTTTCTGATCACAGTATTTTGTCTCAACTGGTTTTTGACTTGGCTTATCCTGACGTTGTTTTTTGACACCTATCTGGAAAGTTAGGCTAGGCTGCCATACTGTCTCAGAGACGATCTAGACCCAGTAAATCAATGTTTCAAATTTCCAAGTTTTGAAATGTGTATGCAATATATTTGGCCCAGTAATGCTCCAAAAAAAACTGTATAACCAGTACATGTGGCTACCGTTATATTCATTAGACATTGCTAACTACAAATATTGAGGCTTTATTGCAGTAAGGCATACAGTATTAGCATTATGAACTGTCCTGTGAAAATGGAATTTATGTGTGTGAAAGTATAAGCTTCTAAGGGTGGCCAGCATTTGTAATAAAGTGGCTACACAAAACAACTCAAAATACCCCATTTAGAATGCTCTGGGTTGTCTACTTTTGAAAGTTCTAAGTTATTATGGAAAAATGTTATTTCCTAGGCTGCCATACTGTCTCAAATGCGACCTAGGCCTGGAAATGCAATGTCGCAAAATTCCATTTATAAATCACTGAAATGGGCAAGCCCCATAGTTGGCCCTGTATTTCTTATAAACTCCAATAAACCTCTATATGGGGGGCATTGATGTACTCATGGGACATTGCAGAATACAATTATAAGTGTTTTATTGCAGTAAAACGTATCAGTATTATGATAGTCTCAATAAACGTGTGCACACGTTAGGAAAAAAGAAACATTTCTTAATTTCTCATAATTGGATAGATTTTATTCATATATAATTACAGATCATTTATAAACATTTGATGTCAAACGGAAGCCCTATTTGTCCTGTAAAAAACAATATATAATATGTGTGGGTGCACTTAATGTGAAAAAGGATAGATTATGATTGAGCAGACATATAGCTCAAATTCTGAATGTTCAGAACTTGGACAATTGCCTCCGTCCTTAAAGGGTTAAAGTAGAGGTGCGCCAAAATGAAAATGTTTAAACCGAAAGGATAAAGAATGTCAGGCAGAAACCGAAAATGTTTTTTTTCTAACTTTAAAAAAAATGTAAAATATTTAATTTTTATTTATTTTTTATAAACTTTTAATTTTTTTATATTTAATTTTTATTTATTTATTAAATATTCATATTTTTTTAGGGGCTTCGGGGGAATTATTGGGGGTCTGAACAGACCCCTGATATTTCCCTTTTCTAATAGAAAAAGAGATTGAGGACACAAGTCCTCAATCTCTTTTTCTGCAGCCCCTGTTATCAATGAACAGGAATCCTCTATACCAGTGATGGCGAACCTTTTTGAGCCGGAGTGCCCAAACTGGATCACTAAACCAACTTATGTATCTCAAAGTGCCAACCCTTCAATTAGACCTGAATACTCTCGGGGGGGCTCTGCAGTTCTGAGGTGGTCTGTACGGGCTCTCAGGGGGCTGGCGGCTCTCAGGTGGGCTCTGTGGGGTTTTTGGTAGTCTGTACAGGCTCTCAGGGAAGCTGTGCATCTCTCAGACGGTCTATTATGGCTTTTGGGTGGGCTCTGTGGTCCCTCAGGTGGTTTATATGGGCTCTCTGTGGGGCTATTCTGCATTGCTGTATAATTATCATACAGCAATGAAGAATACCACCAGCTATGCGGGACTACAAGTCCCAGCAATACATTATAATGAAAGTCAGCACTACACAGCAGAGGCGTAACTAGAAACCTAGTGTTCCCCGCAGCAATAATAATTTATTATTGCTGCGGGGAAGGGGGGCAATTATTATCGCTGCCTGGGGGAGAATTGTTTTTAGGCAGGAGTTAATAAAAAAAAAAAACCCCATGCAGCAATAAGAATCACCCCCTTACCCGCAGCAATAATAAATTATCCTTGGGGTAGATTAATACTGCAGCCGGGACAGAAATTACTATTAGTTATTACCGTATTTGCCGGCGTATAAGACGACCCCCCACTTTTTGTGTAAAAAATATAGGTTTTGGACTATACTTGTCATATAAGACGAGTATAGCGCAAAATAATGTTTAAATGCACGCACTAACATCCATGGCGGTATTCCCGAGTGTGACTCGGGGTTAATTTTCAGTACCATAAGCAGTAACCCCGAGCCACAATCGGGAATACAGTCTCTCACCTTGTCCACGATCCCCGCTGTGTCCTCCGTCTCCCGCTGAGTCAATCACGGCAGGCTTTCTATTCATGAATACAGGCTTTGAATACTTAATTGTCGGCTGCTGCAGCTCTCCGTGTTCCTCCGCGGCAGCCGAAAATGGTGAAATAGTCCCCTCTCTTCTGCTGTCAGTTCAGCGGGGGAGAGAGGGAACTACTAACTACTAATTGGACTCGGACCGCTATCGCTGCGTCCCTTTGATAATGCGGACCTGGGCTCGCGTGCCAGCAAAGGGGTCCCCACGTGACCACTCCGGCACGCGTGCCATAGGTTCGCCACCGCTGCTCTATACTGAGTGTTCCTATTAATTGATAACATGAGGACAGAGTATGTTTACTATAACCACAATCATGAATGAACAGCAGGAGATGTAGATCTCTTCCCATTCATTCATAATTGAGGATATAGTAACCATACTCAGTTCTCATGTTATGTACAAATACTCAGCGATCACTGATCACTGAGTGTTTGTACCGCTCTCCTCTGACACGCTGTCACAGGAGGCTGAGCGAGAGGAGCAGGGAGGAGAGCTCAGCCTCCTGTGACAGCGCAGGTTGTCTCCGCCCACACACCGCTCTGCCGATCTGCGACAGGAGCTCTCCTCCCGCAGCGCTCGGCTGCCTGTAACAGTTTCTCTCCTCCACACTGGGACACAGAGCAGCGCCCAGCGGGGAGGAAAGAAAGCACGGATGTGCCACTGTATCAGCAGAACATTTTTGGTCGATATGTTTAGGCGGCCGATATACCGTTGCATCCTTATGTTAAAGTACATTCAATTACACTGTAGCTGAATTAAGTCATACAAAGTCTGATGTGCATGTTCAGTTTCTACTGGTGCAACAAAGGTTAATATCAATATTGGTTATGTGGCTCGACTCCTTTTCTGTGACGACTAGAGCTTCTGACAAGGCCTTTCCGACAATCCTTTTCAGGGATAACATCTGCTCTTAAACTACAGGAATAGTAAGTTGAGGATGATAAGTTTTAATTTGGGGATTACATTCAAGCTTTCCATGTATCCTACGTCTGGTTTCTTTGGTTCTCCTACACCGCTGTAAATCTTACAGTTATTGCATAGCCTACATAGGATTTGCTATGAAGGAGAAATGTATGTGCGCTGTAATTACTGGAGTTCGAACCGTAGATTGCTGTTTGTTTTGCATCGACATGCATTTCTGTACGTGTTTTGAAAACAAATAAAAATTACTGAAATGAATACATGACAAGGGATTCCCAGAGCACAATGGGTCAGCACAGTAGTTTTCTCCTTTCCAGCTGGCCCCTTCTAATTGAAACTTCCACTAAGCCCTCTGATAAGGAATGTGCCACTCCTCTAATGACTCAGGTGGATCTCAGTTATTATAAACAACATTCTTGTTGTGACTAATATAAATGGCTTGGGGAAACTCTACAGCATTATACTGATACTACTTTTTTTTATAGCTGTTCTATGCTACCCTTGTTGGAGATGGGTTTGAGGCTCATTATTGTGCTGGTGACTTCTGTTAATATATTTTTTAAGCTCAGGTGTTTGTGAGTATGCCTTAGAGCAATGTTTAATAAGCTGTCAATGAAGAGCAAACTACTGGCAGATGTAAAGCAAAAAAATGAGGTGCAGCAAAGTTTATTATTCCACAGCAACATATCACCTCTGACTACTCTGAACTGAAAACTAATACCTGCACATCATTAACCTCGACTTTATCTTCTAACACATTGCAATAAGTTTATTGGTTCTTACCTTGTCATTCCAAAATCCGAAACTTTTACTACACCAAGATCATTTACTAAACAGTTTCTGGAAGCCTGCAAGGACAACACAACTCCATCAAGTATACATATCGGCATTATTCAAAACAAACAAGCAAAAGAGAACCAGTAATGGATTAAAAATTGATCGTTTCAATTATATATTGAGCCAAAATGTGTTTTTTTAGTTTAGAGTTAGGCCGGCCATTCACCTATAGATTATCTGCAGATTTTCTGTGGTCAGATGGAAAAAGTGCAACAGATTCCTCCATCTACGCTAAACTGTGTGTATGGAGGAATCTCCCACTGTGCCAAGCTTCAGTATCTTGCTAGTCGACCCCGCTGGATGTCAAAATACCTGAAGAATCTGATTGGATGCAGGCATTGTTTAGGTATTTTGACACCCAACGGGGCCGACTAGCAAGATACTGAAGCTTGGCACAGTGGGAGATTCCTCCATGCACACAGTTTAGCGTAGATGGAGGAATCTGTTGCACTTTTTCCATCTGACCACAGAAAATCTGCAGAAAATCTATAGTTGTATGGCCAGCTTAAGGAAGGTTTAGATCCCCTGTCCCGGTGACAACAATTTTAGTAGACAGGAAGTGATGGTAAATCTCTCACATTAACAGAAACAAATATAAAAAAATATAAGGCAAGGCTAGATCACCTGTCAGAATTGTATTTCTGTCTGCGTCCTTCTTGTAGATTTTACTTTCCTTCCTGTCTGTTGTCAGCAGAACCGAAGACAAAACAAGCCTCTCTTATTGAGCTTCTGTTAGCAGTCCTTTCGCACTCTACCAAAAAGCTTTAAAATTTGTGTCTATACACACTTCAACTTCCCATTAACACCCCTGTGATTTTTTTGGTTACAGTGGGTTTTGAGGGGTTTACATGCAGTACCAATTATTTTTATGGAAAATGCACTTGCTGGGAACTCCAGGGAAAAAAGCATCAAGCAGAGTCTTTTACATGTACCACAGAGAACAACAATTTTGAATGACCACGTTAGTGGGAATGATTTCCTGTGACAGATGAAAGGTATTGAAGATGATTCATGAAAACTGATGAGCAAAGTGAAATAACCCGCAGCAACCAGAAAACATCTCTTATTTAATAAGATTGCAGCAAATTAAAACTTGGTTGCTTGTGATGGGTAACTTTACACTGCCCTGCTAAATAAGCCTAATACAGTGCAGCTAAAGAAAGACACATCCTGGGTGGGATGGGCACACACAACCGTTACAAAATGCAGTGGCTGGGGCATGGTCAGGACATGGTGGTGTTTACCATAAGGCATCCAGGCAGAGACGGCTGAGAGAAGCCACAAAAATCTTTAGTTCCGTCAACAAAACACATTTTATCAAATTAAATTCTAACCTTGTGTACCCAGCAGCAGAACTCTGGATAAAACTTTTATTAACCCTTGAAGTGGGGCCCACATTGCAAGGGTCACCTGCTCGTTCTGGTCTATGGAGGAAAATAACAAGGTTATACTCACCTGATCCTCTGAGCCAGCCGGCTGTGACAGTGCTCCCTCCTCCGCTGCAGTGATGGTATGTCCCTCTGCATCCTCACGTCCTATACACGGTGTATAGAATCTGATGACTCAGGGACCTTAGACTGCTGCAGTGGAGGGAGAGTGAGGCTGGAAGGACTGGTCTAATAGCAAGTTGGCTCCGAGCATCAGGTGAGTATAACTACAGTATTTCATTTTCCTCCCAAGACCAAAATATTCAGTTAGCCCTTGCAGTAAGGGGGTAGCCGCCCTGAAAGGGTTAACAAAGATTTTGAGTGGAGTTCTGCTTTAAGAACACTGAGTAGAGTGTTTATAGCCTTCACCCCAAATGTCTAAGTGGAGTCTCCATTAAGAGAGAGCTATCACTATGATCACTGACAATGATAAGACCCAGGTAACATATCATTTTCCATCTTTTCATGTATAGGTTATTCACACTAATATTTTATATGTCACATACAGCAGGGCTCAAAATTTCCACTCGCCCCCTCCCAATTGGGGAGTGGAAATTAATCTGGGGAAGGGGTGCCGCCGGCAGGACCAGTGGGGTGAAACTGCCGATCGATCGTTTAGTTCTGTCTTCTGTGGCCGGAGTGGTAGGGAAGACAGTCGCACTGATTATTCTTCTCCTCCGCTGCACCTACAGAGGCTGAGGAGGAGAAGAACCAGTTCGGCTGTCTTCCCTTCACTCCTCCCACCTCAGCTTTCATAGGCTGGGAGGAAGACTGCAGCTGCTATTGGCCAGCTGGAAGGTTTTGCAGCGCGGGACCTGAAGGATACATCTCTGTCACCCCCTAGCACCACCACCAGGAGAGGAAGAGGGCAGATCAGCTATGTGCATTGTAAGTCCCTGTTCTTTCTGCCATACACCGCTGACCTGTTTGTGTTACATTACTGACCTCCGCACTGTGCGTTACATTACTGACCTCTGAACTCATGACCTCTGTACTGAGCGTTATATTACTGACCTCTGTACTGTGCATTACATTACTGACCTCGATACTATGCGTTACATTACTGACCTCTATACTGCTGACCTCTGTACTGTGCGTTACATT